AGAGCAACAATGACAAGACCCGAACCTTCCCCTCTCAACTCCACCTGCACCGTCGCTCAAATCACATCAGCTCACCTCCAGCAGCTGCTCACCTCCAGCAGCTGCTCACCTCCAGCAGCTGCTCACCTCCAGCAGCTGCTCACCTCCAGCAGCTGCTCGAGCTCTTCGATGTCGTCGTTGTCGGAGTGCGCACTGCTGTACGCACTCGCACGACTCATCAGCGCCGCCACGCCCCCGCCCCCCGCCCCCATGCCCATGCCGCCCCACCGCCCGCCAATGGACATCCGCGAGCCGAGCGGGGAGGAGGCGAGGTGGGGAGAGGCAAACGGCGCGTGGAGGGCGGCGGGGGCGGGGAGGGAAAAGGCGAGGGAGGCGGCGCCGTGCAGCGAGGTGGCGGTGGGGGAGTGCGGGGCGGCGGCCATGCGGGTGAGGAACATCTCGGCCATGTCGTCATCGTCGTCCAGCAGCTGCTCCAACTCCTCCCTCACCTGCCAGGGCGTGCCGTGGCGTGGCGAGCACAAGGGGTGAGAGCACGCAGTGAATGGTGCACGGGTGACTGACCCCACACCACACGTGTGCAAGTCCAGACGCTCTCCTTGATGCAGCATTTTCGTTGGGTTGCACTCATTGATTTAACACGAGAAACGGAGAAGAAAACAAACCTTCTGCACGCGAGCAATGAGTCGACTCATTCTGTTCTTCATGCTTCTCACTCGGTCCAGGTTGAGACTGCTCACCTGCCGCCCACCGCCATGCCAATCCCAGCCATGCACACAAGCATAGAATCACAAGCAGAAATTATAACGAATGAACTGAATGCACTAGTGCACGTCACAAGCTGCCCACGAGACCGGGCAGCAAGTTCGGTTGCATCCAGGCAATGCTCGGGTTACCTGCGGTTTGCATCAACTTGACAGGCGAGTGGAAGGAAGAGCAGGGAGAAGGCAAGGTGGGACGGATGCGGAAAGGGAAGGGGCACCGACTCGGGAGGTGAGCTCATCGAGGGCGGGGTAAGCCTCGTTCTCCAGCAGCGTGGTGTGCGAGTCCAGCGCACGGCACACCTGCTCCAGCGCCACCTCCAATGCGATGAACTCGAACGGCCGGTCTGATGCATCATGCGCACGGGAGCGCAGCGCGTGGGGATGGCAAGAAAGACAGTGGGTGCGTTGTAATTAGAAATGGGCACAGTAACCAGCATGGTTCACCTAGAGCCATTCTTTTATTCCTAACGATTTGAGTCGACCCGGCTGGGGTTCCAGTTGAAACACGTCAAACCCACAGGGCCCACACTTATATTCACTGCGTAACGATGGCAGATAAACCAGACGACTTGTAAACCAGACACATGGCATGGCATGGTACAGCGTGACTCACACTCCTCCATGTCCTCTTCGTCCTCCTCTTCCTCCTCATGCTGCCATCCCTTCGCCCTCCTCCCTCCTCCACCCCCCTCCCCCCTCTCTGCTTCTAGCCCCGTGCCCTTCCCCCCACCGCCTTCCTTCACGCGCAGTCGCAGCGTGAGCGGCTCACTCTCCGCCCGGGACCCGTGTGCACTGCCCATGCCCTCCCACGCATCCTCCTCATCTTCCCCCTCTTCCTCCTCCTCTTCCTCCTCATCCCCGTCGCCATCCACTGGCCCACGTCTCTCACTCTCTTCGCACTCCACCATCTCAATCTCTGACATCCCACGTACTCTTCGCCTCTCATCGACTCTTCTCGCCGCATCGCTCCCATGAACAGCGTGTCCACTCTCCCTTGTCCCCTCACTCCCTTCATGGCCCTCTCTCCCCCCTCCACCCCCATGCACCTCCCTTGACTTGCCACTGTCGTGCCTCCTCACAGAGCCATCAGTGCCACACACACCACTGCCAGCAGCAGCACCCATATGGGCAGCATGAGCAGCGGTGCCAGTGGGAGGAGGGGAAGCAGCTGACGCGCTTCTGGCAGCAGCTTCAGCTTCAGCTGCGCCCACAATAGCAGCAGCAGCAGGAGCGGTCCCTGGAGCGGCGGGGGGTGCAGCGGCGGGGGGTGCAGCAGCGGCGGGGGGCCCAGCGGCGGGCTGCAGGTGCAGGCGGCGCAGCAGCTCGTCCACAAAACGCTGCACGCCCTCGTGAGCCGGGTTGCGCAGCAGCACCTGCAGGGGGGGGGGGAATGGGGGGCGGAGGGGGTGAAAGGGTTATGCTGGTGTCGTTGTTGTCGCAGTGCGCACAGGGAGGGCGGCCGGGAGGCCAGACCAGGGGAGGGGAGAGCAGAGAGGCATGAAAGGCATGTAGAGGGAGAGGTGCGCTTCATGGTCATTTGAGTTGCCAATAACGGTTCCAAATCAGATCGAAGCAGTGACTGGTGCGGACAGGACAGGAAAGCTCATGAGCATGGAGTGCAGATGCGATTGGAAATGGAAGAGCAGCAGCAGCAGCAAATGCATGCATGGCAGGTGGGTGTCGGACGGCAGGTGGGCGTGGGACGGCAGGTGGGCGTGGGACGGCAGGTGGGCGTGGGAGGGCATCATGGCATGGGATGGAGGGAGCATGGCGCCAAGTGCGCAATGAAGGGCAGAAAGGCACCTCTTCAGCCGTGATGATGGCCTTGAGGTGCTGCCATGCCGCCACCACCCCGGGCAGATGAGTGGCGGGGGAAGGTTCCACACACGACGACACAAGCACACATGCGCACGTGGAAGGCAAGGAGGAGCAACAGGGATGATGATGTGAGAGCAGAAGCAAAAGGGAATGCAGCCTGTGCCTCGCACTCATGCGGACAGGCCTGCTGCCAACTCGACATGAGCAATAAAACAGACTCTGCATTTTGTGGGCCTCCAATTCGAGTCAAGCAGACAGCGTTAAACACTCAAGTCCGCCCTGCTGCCAGGGTTGCCAGCATGTTCCATGGTCTTTGGCCGTGCGACCTGGTGCCATCACTCGCTTCACCAAGCAGAATCCAAAGCTCGCTCAGGAACCTCACTTACAGCCATCGGCGCTCATCTCACACCTCCCCTCTCTATCCACAAGCATGGCAGCACAAGGCAGGGCAGGGCAAGGCAGGGCACAGGGCGGGTCGGGGCGGGGCGGGGCAGGGCAGGGCAGGGCGGGGCGGGGCGGGGCAGGGCAGGGCGGGGCAGGGCAGGGCAGGGCAGGGCAGGGCAGGGCAGGGCAGGGCACCTCGAGGTTGAGCACGATGGCTTGCTCACCTCGAGGTTGAGCACGATGGCTTGCTCACCTCGAGGTTGAGCACGATGGCTTGCTCACCTCGAGGTTGAGCACGGTGGCTTGCTCACCTCGAGGTTGAGCACGATGGCTTGCTCACCTCGAGGTTGAGCACGATGGCGCGCTCGCGGCCGAGGATGGTGGAGGGGTAGGAGAGCAGCGGGTCGAGGATGCGCAGGTCGCGCGCATGCAGCCCCGTGCGCTGCATCACCGCTGCCCGGTCCAGCTCCTCCTCGCCCTCCCGCCCCTCCACGTCCACCCACCGCCACCGCACCTGACGCGACCGCGGCACCATCCATGCCCATGCCCATGCCCATGCCCATGCCCATATGGACGTGACACCGTGCAGTCATGCATTGACGTGCACCCATGCATCCGCCATGCACCCATGCATCGACCCCGGGCCATGTGGAGGCGAGTGGTAACAAGAAAGGTTGTGGTCGAGGAGGCGGGTGGGGGATGGGGGGGGGATGAGGAGTGGAGGAGGAACTGGAAAGGGACGGGGAAAGGGAAGGGGGGGACGACGAAGGGCGAAGTGCAGGCAGTGGCAGTAGACGGATCGAGCAAGGGATGATATGCGGCACTGAAAAAGGAGACGAGCGAACCAACAAATATCGAAGTGCACTCACCATCACCCACCACAACCACCCACCACAACCACCCACCACAACCACCCACCACAACCACCAGTCAGTGAGCAAGGATGAAAGAGGGAACAATGAATGGGCATCAAGCCAAGCACACCACTAAACGCGGCCATCCTCCACCCACCTTCGTCAGCCCGCCTGCTTTCTTCTCCTGCAGTGCTGACGTGGCAGCAGCTGCTGCCGCCACGTGTTGCTCATTGACAGGATCCAGACGAGCCCTGTGCTTGACGTTCTTCTGCACGCAGTGGGCGGATGGAGGGGCGCAAGCAGGGAGTACAAAGCAAGGAAGTCAGCGCACACAGCGGCATGCCCGGGGCGAGGAGAGTGCAGGTGCGCGTGAGATGGCACGGCTGCGCTGCTCTCATCTCTTTGCAATGGCTGTGAGGTGGGGCAACGGGCATGAGGTGGGGCAACGGGCATGAAGTGGGTTGGGCGTCATGGCATGAGGTGGGTTGGGCGTCATGGCATGAGGTGGGTTGGGCGTCATGGCATGAGGTGGGTTGGGCGTCATGGCATGAGGTGGGTTGGGCGTCATGGCATGAGGTGGGTTGGGCGTCATGGCATGAGGTGGGTTGGGCGTCATGGCATGAGGTGGGTTGGGCGTCATGGCATGAGGTTGGTTGGGCGTCATGGCATGAGGTGGGTTGGGCGTCATGGCATGAGGTGGGTTGGGCGTCATGGCATGAGGTGGGTTGGGCGTCATGGCATGAGGTGGGTTGGGCGTCATGGCATCAGGTGGGTTGGGCGTCATGGCATCAGGTGGGTTGGGCGTCATGGCATGAGGTGGGTTGGGCGTCATGGCATCAGGTGGGTTGGGCGTCATGGCATGCGGTGGGTTGAGCGTCATGGCATGAGGTGGGTTGAGCGTCATGGCATGAGGTGGGTTGGGCGTCATGGCATGAGGTGGGTTGGGCGTCATGGCATGAGGTGGGTTGGGCGTCATGGCATGAGGTGGGTTGGGCGTCATGGCATGAGGTGGGTTGGGCGTCATGGCATGAGGTGGGTTGGGCGTCATGGCATGAGGTGGGTTGGGCGTCATGGCATGAGGTGGGTTGGGCGTCATGGCATGAGGTGGGTTGGGCGTCATGGCATGAGGTGGGTTGGGCGTCATGGCATCAGGTGGGTTGGGCGTCATGGCATGAGGTGGGTTGGGCGTCATGGCATGAGGTGGGTTGGGCGTCATGGCATGAGGTGGGTTGGGCGTCATGGCATCAGGTGGGTTGGGCGTCATGGCATCAGGTGGGTTGGGCGTCATGGCATCAGGTGGGTTGGGCGTCATGGCATAAGTCGAAGCGATAGCATCGCCGGGGGCATCTGGTGGCTGCTAGAACGAGCCCGCCGTTCACGCGCATAAGGCGCTAACAGCTTCTGCCGATTGACGCGGCGGTGGGAGGAGGCGATCGAGCAGCGGCGCGGCTGACCTGGTAAGCCGCGAACTCCGCGGAGGCTGGCTGCCGCTTCATGCTCGCAAGCTCGTCGCCTGCCGCCGCTACGCCCTCGCTGCCGCTGCCACCGCAGGCGGCGAGGCTAGCCAAGCCCTCGCTGCCGCACGTCCGAACCCTGATGGCTCGCTTCCTAAGCCGGCAACAGGCGCGCGCCGCACGTATGATAAGCGAGTGACGGCCCTAAGGAATATGACTTACAAAAACTGCGATTAGTGTGTCCATGATCTAATGGCGTTGGACTCGTTATGGACGGCTTCGCTGCCATGTAATGTTTACTTGAAATTTTGAATATCACTTCGGATATGGGCAATCACTCTTTCTTGAGACTGTTTTTCTTTGGAAGAGGGGCTGCGAATAAGGTTGGTTTCCTCACAAAGTAACAGAAATATTTATATTCTGAAACCTTGTATTAGCCAGTGCGGCCTGCACTTTCGAACTCGCGTCACTCTCACAAATAACTGCATGTGGGAAGAGATGTAGTGAGAGATCAATCTTGTTACAACTATAGAGCCCTATTATACAACCACAGGATTGATCAACGAAGTGTAGCAGCGACATGTTTCTGATTGGTGTGGGTGGGACTTTATAACTGGGAAGTTGAATGTTCCGTAACGATTATTGCTATACCATTGTCAAATGTTGTAGCCTTTAGTGATGCGTGTCATATGGGGTACAGCAGTTAGGGTTAGGTTTATGTACCCCAACCCACAATAGTCAATCATCATTCGGTTTCTGACATGGTATCACCCAGGATCCCATTCCTCCCCCTTACGCCCATAGCGCCCTACCGTCGAGCCCGTCCCATACCTTAGCGCTCGTTGCGTCCGTACTGTCCCCTAGCGCTTGTCGCGCCAGTCCGTCTCATTCCCTAGCGCCCATCGCGCCTGCCAGTCGCGTCGCGCTCGTCTTTCGCGTCGCGTCGCGCTCGTCTATCGCGTCGCGTCGCGTCGCGCTCGTCTATCGCGTCGCGTCGCGCCTGCCCGTCCCGTCCCGTTACGTCGCACTTGCCAGTCGCGTCGCGCCCGTTTGTCCCGTCCCGTCGCGTCGCGCCTGCCCGTCCTGTCCCATCGCGTCGCGCCTGCCCGTCCCGTCCCGTCGCGTCGCGCCTGCCCGTCCCGTCCGGTCGCGTCGCACCTGCCCGCCGTGTCGCGCCCGTCCTGTCTCGTCCCGTCCCGTCTCTTCCCCTCGTGCCTGTTGTGCCTGCCCATCTAGTCGCGCCGCGCCTGCCCTTCCCGCCGCGCCGTGCCCGTCCCGTCACGTCCCTCCCTTCTCGCCACGTAGCGCCCTGCTTGCCGTGCCATACTCCGGCCTTCTAGGCGATTTTCACTTGTAGTTTCTTCACGCTTCCGCTATGGCGACGCCTAGAGTCCTATGCTTTGACACCGAGGGTAGGCCGCCCGAGTTCTCTGTCTGGCTCCTGCGTGCGCAGCGTCTCCTAAAGAGTCAGGTTCAGGCAGACGCTTCCTTGTGGGCGCACGCTTCCGGTGGCCTTCGTGCGCCCCCCGATCCTGAACCCTTAGGCGCTGACCCCACCTCTAACTTCACCTTCTACCACCCTCCCCTTCACCGGTTCCTTGACTCCCGTGACGTTGGCTTTGATGAGACAATCCCCTACTACACCCGGTACCCTTGTCGAGGTCTCCCCATTCCTCCTCCCCCTCTCTTCCTGACTCCCACTCCCCCTCCTGCTCCTCCGGTACAGCCCCCCCCCCCCCCCCCCCCCCCCCCCCCCCCCCCCCCCCCCCCCGGTCCAGCCCCGTCAGGCGTGTCACATGCTTACACCCCCCCTCGGTAGCCCCTCAGGTGCCGTCCCCTTCCCCACAGTCCTCCTCACAGCCTACTACAGACCCTGCGGGAGCTGGTGTTCGTCTCGAGGCCCTTGGAGGTGCTAGCTCTAGAGGTGTTGGCGTTGGAGCTGAGGGTGTACCTGTACGAGGTCCTGGTTCTTGGGGTGCTAGAGTTGGGGCTGAGCCCGTGACCGCAGGAGACTCTAGTCCTCAGGGAGCTGGTGTTAGTCCTGCTGTCCCTGGGGGTGCTACGACTTGGGGTGCGGGTGCGCCCTCTACTGGAGCCGGAGAGCCTGGGGCTGACCGTGTTGCTATTGGTGGTGCTGGCTCTGAGGGTGGTGCGACTGGTGCTTTGGAGGGCGGTCCTGGGGCTACCACCGCCCCGGATCCTACTCCTCCCCTACACCCCTACCTGACCCGACACCAGGACCGTCTTCGTCGTGCACGTGAGGAGCAGCTGGAGTTAAAGTGAGAAAGAGACTAGAGTTGGAGGGGCAGCAGCAGGAGCTACGGCAGCTAGAGGAGCTGCAGCAGCAACAGCAGCCGCCGCAGCAGGAGCAACAAAAGCTGCCACCTCCGCCTCCTGTCTCTGGCCTTCGAACCCTCGATCTCCCCTCTCCCTCTCCTCCCTCCCCTCCCTCCCCTCTGTCCCACGTTTCCTCCTCCTGACTACACCCCAGCTGTTTTCCCCTGTTCTCAGCCTCCGTTGTCCCCTCTTCTTTCTCACACTTGGGCTTCTCACTCTCCTCGTGCTCGTCCCTCGTCCCCTGTCCCTGTCACTGACCTTCGTACTGTCCTGTTCCGTTCTAGTGCGCCTCATTCGTCTCCATCTGTGCTTCCTTCTCCTCCTGAGTCCGCCCACACCGCTTCCCTCTCTACTCCTGTCACTGACTACTACCGCACGTACCGTCCTGTTCTCTTATTACACACCCTCATGCCTCTCTATCCTCTGTCTCAACCCTTACTCCCGCAGTGACTGAGTTCGCCACTAATCGCCGCGTTGAATACGCCACTCATGTCGTGACTGCTCCTCCTACCAGTCCTCTGGCCTTCGGGGGTGAGTCTGCCCTTGGCTGTGATGCCCTAGAGGATAGGCAGTTTGAGCTGGAGTTCCTGGCAGCTGCTTCCTTTCATCTCTGTGCCATGCTGCTCGCCCCTAAGGAAGACCCCGACGCCCTTGACATACCGACTCCTCGCACTTACGCTGAGGCAGTGTCAGGGCCTTGGGCCTCTCAGTGGAGAGTTGCCATGGACACAGAGATGGCCTCCTATAGATCCACAGGCACCTACGTCAACGAGGTTCCCCCCCTCTGGGGCGAACGTAGTTGATGGCATGTGGATCTTCAGGGTGAAGCTGCCACCGGGATCTCCTCCGGTCTTCAAGGCGCGCTATGTAGCTAGAGGTTTCAGTCAGCGCGAGGAAGTTGACTTCTTTCAGACCTTTGCACCTACCCCAAAGATGACCACTCTTTGGGTGTTACTGCACATAGCAGCACAGAGAGACAATGAGTTACACTCTCTCAACTTCTCCATTGCCTTCCTTCAGGGTAGCCTACATGAGGAGGTCTGGTTGCGTCGTCCCTCCGCCTGCACTGGCACTTTCCCTCCTGGGACCCAGTGGAGGCTGAGGCGACCGGTCTATGGTCTCCGTCAGGCACCTCGTGAGTGGCACGACACCCTTCACTCTACCCTATCTGGCCTCGATTTCCAGCCGTCTTCTGCCGACCCGTCGCTATTCGTTTGTCGTGGCTCTACACCGTTCTTTGTATGGGTTTACGTTAACGACCTGTCTTCGCTACTGCTGACAGGGTTGCTTTGGCTGACGTGAAGTTCAAACTGCAGAAGAGACACACGTGCACTGACCTTGGTGAGCTGCACCACTACCTAGGCCTGCAGGTCACCAGGGACAGAGCTGCTCGCACCATCACACTCTCACAGTCACAAATGGTGCAGCAAGTCCTTCAGCGGTTCGGGCTTCAGCACTCCACCGTACAGTGCAAACCTCATGCCGTTGACCACAGACTCACTGGTCCCTTTCGTGACGAGCCATTTGAGCCTAGTGGTCCTTACGCAGAGCTTGTGGACTGCCTCATGTAATTGATGACTTGTACTCACCCGGACCTCACCTTCCCTCTTAGCATCCTTGCTCGCTTTGTTGCGCCAGGGAGACACCGTCCTGTTCACTGGACAGCTGCTGTGAGGGTGGCGAAGTACGTAGCGATGGCATCAAGCGTGGGGCTGGTACTTGGAGGGAGACAGTCTGTCTTACTTACTGGTCACTGTGACTCTTCTTACGCTGACGATGTCGAGACTCAAAGGTCTACTCAGGGGTACTGTTTCAGCATGGGCTCTGGAGCTGTTTCGTGGAGGTCCACGCGTTCCTCCTCAGTCTCGACCTCTACCGCTGAGGCTGAGATCTACAATGGAGCCATGGCTGCACAGGAGCTGCGTTGGTTGACCTTCTTGCTCACCGACCTTGGTTTGCGGCCGAGCTTTGCACCGACCTTGTTCACTGACAACAAGGCGATGATTCTCTTTTGTCGAGAGCCTCAACTGGAGAGCAGATTGAAGCACATCAACGTCAGGTACTTTCTTCTGCGAGAGTTGTAGAGGCGTAGACAGGCTCGCTTGGACTTTGTGGAGTCCGAGGCCAACACAGCAGACATCTACACCAAGGCCCTTCCACCTTGTGACCACCACAGGTGTTGTGTGCAGTTAGGTCTCGTTGACACAGGTTCTCGTCTTGTGTAGACTTGTGTTCTTTGCTTGCTTTGTTTGTACACTTTGCATTTACCTCTATGAACTCTTGGACTATCCTAGTGGGTCTTTTGCTTGTGCTCAGAGTGTGTGGTGACGTTGTGATCCACCCTGAGCTTTGTTTCTTTGTCACTGGTCTTGTGACCGCACGGTTTTATTTTGCTTGACACCCCTCACTTAGGCTATGGGGGTGTGTCGAATGTTGTAGCCTTTAGTGATGCGTGTCATATGGGGTACAGGAGTTAGGGTTAGGTTCATGTACCACAACCCACAGTAGTCAATCATCATTC